ATTTTTTCCCCTTTTGGGAAACTTGACAATACCTTTAGAGTTATTATGTGTTGCAAACTTTAAAAAAGAGTTAGTTGGCTGGTCTGCAACTGAAAAATTAATTCTTGTAGACCTAGTCTTATTTTTTCCCCAGACCAAAAATAAACCCCTTTTGATATTTGTTTGAGAACCATTCAATGTTTTATAGTTAAATTTATTCTGTATCATGGCACCAATAACCAGTCTGATTTCCCTTTAGATTATATTTAATTTCTTAAAGTTTTGAGAGTGCTCTCCCGTTTAACTCTAAACTGCTGTAAACCTTTGTAAGTGTATCTGGGGATTTTAAATTTAAAATTGATATCATAATAACAATTTTTTTATACTTGGGACCTTAACGAATCTGTTTATGTGAGCATTTTTAAATTTGGGAAAAGGGATCGGGAAACCTTTATTCCTTTATATAAAGTTAGTTCCTGAAAGGGAGTCACTCCTGCATTTAAGGGGTTTAAAAATTGCCCAAAATTTAAATTTTCACAGGATATAAATACTTGTAAAAATAAATTCTGAGTTTGGGAAAAGCATATAATTTTTTGGAGGTGGTAAGTGGTTAAATTTTAATTTTTTCCCCTTTTTGGGGAATTTTCCCCTTTTTTTTTTTTTGGGGTCACCCTCACTCCGTCTAAAACCCGAATTTGTTGAAAAAAATAAATTCATCTAGATCCAAAATACTTTTAAATTACCAATTAAGTGACCTTAACAAGTACTTTCCTTGTAAGAATTTTACATTTAAAGGCTTTTTATTATATGTGGCTCTTTTAACCTTCTTTTGGGGGTAAAATAATTTAAAGTTACCCCTAAACCGGTTCACTTCCTGTTTTGCACAGCTTGCTTTAAAAATTAAAAAATTCCTCCCAATTTTCACAATTAAATTACAAATTAAAATTTTGGGAGTTTTGGCAAAGAATATTTTACAGATAATTTAACTGGGCCTTTTTACACATTTTTTTATTCGGCCTGCTTTTAAAAAAAGAATCTTTTCCTTCAAATTCATAACGAAAATTAATTATAACATAATTTTATCCACACTTTCTTAAAAATTCCTTCATATTTTTAATTAAATTTTTATGAATTATATTTATTTCAAAATTAAATAAATTTTAAATCATCAGTTTCAAAATTTTTGAATTATTATTCCAAACATTTTTTGTAAATTTGTAAAATTAACTCCACCCCCTTTTTGTCTTTCCTTTAATTATATTTATATTTGTCTTCATATTAATTTCCCTTCAAAAACCAAAGAGCAAAATTAAATTAAATTCAATTTATTAATAACATGTACAAAAATTAAACAGATAAATTATTTGAATTAACATAGACTGAGGATTTGGGCATAGGGGAAAAATTTCCCCTGTACATTAAACCAAATTGGCCTCATTAAAATTAATATAATACAATTTAAATATCCTTCAATTTGGCATAACAAATAATATCCATTAAAATTACTACACAGGCCTTATCAATTACCCTACACCTGAATAAATCTTGCCAAAACAAAACAATTAATATTAACAAATAAATCCCGCCAAATTCAACAAAATTAATATTATACACAATATAATCTTATCCACCACTTTGTCTTTTTTAATTAACACTATTTTAAATCTTGGTCAAATTTCCTTCCAAATAATATTTACAAATTAATATAAACTTTGCCAGATTGAGCTTTGTTAGGCAAAATAATTTGTAATTATTATAACATATAATTAGAAATTTGTGAACTTAAATCACTTTATTCAACATAAATTATTAAGTAAATTAACTTTAATGACTTCACTAAATTTCTTCTCGGTTAAGAAGGAACCAAAGGGCAAGTTTTAGTGGGTTGATTTATCTAAAGTAACTAATATGTATCAAAACAGTAAATGGATAACAAGAAATTATTTAATTTATCAATGTTCATGACAGTAGGATTTGACACCTATGTGAAAAAATGTTCACCCCTTGATCTACAATGTCATTTTTAACCTACAAGTTTCCGACTTTATTATATGTTTTTACTTTCACCAGGAATACTGTAAATATAAAATTTGTGGACTGTAATATGAAAAATAATAAATGGTTATTTAACATAACAATTCATTTAAAGTGAAAATTATATCTTATTATCACCTACAATTTGACTGGGGTTAATTTTTTCTACCAAAAATTCACTAAATCTATTAAATAAGCTGGCAGAATTACACACAAATCAGAGAAGTTATCTGAGTTCTGGAGCTGTCTTGTCCAGTGTCTATACTCAAGTTGGCAGGAAGCAACCACAATTTGTCCTATTGAGGATGTAAATTTTCTTAAGGCAAAAATTTTTTTCCCCCTTTTCAAAATTAAAAATGGGACTGTTGATTTGGGGCCCCCCCTTTTTTTTAAATAAATATTATTTAAAAAGAACCCCAAAAAAAAAAATAGTTTTGGAAAAAATTTTTAAAGTTTTTTTCCCAGAATTAAAAAATTTAAACCAAAATTTTAAATGGCAAAGCTTAGGATTGTTTGTGGGGTTTTTTTTTTTATTTTGGTAAAAATTTTTTTTTTTAAAAAAAATTTTTTTTTTACTGCAGGAAAAAAAAAAGTTTGTGTTTTGGTTAGACATACCACAATGATTGTATATTGTTATGTTCTTAAGTATTTAATGATTCATTGTTGCATCGTGTCATCTTAGACTTTGTAGCATCGATACTGTGAAGGACTGTGTACAGTGAAGTTCACTAGTAGTGTTTGAGCTGTGCAGTGTTGTGTATGCAGCTGATGCTACAAGTGCCCAGCGACAGTGTTGTGATGTATATGGCGTGTTGGCACTGTGTCAAGGTCGGTGCCCAACACTGTGAAGTGCACTAGTGGACCATCAGTGTGGAAAAGCATTTAACTCTATGAAAAATTTATGGGGTTATTGCAGAGCTAATGAATAGTGACTTTGCTTGTTGCATAGTGATAGTTATTTTTGTTGTGTCTTCATTTAATCAATTAAGCTATCACTGTTTTAACTGTGTGTGTTTGTTCAATGCTTCCTCCACAGATATACACAAATACATATTACAGACTAAGGGGAAAGAAACTACAAAAATCGTAAAAGAGAAAGAATCTGGGAGTGAACGTTACACCGAACATATCGCCAGAGATTAAACCATATAACATCAGCAATGCATGCGACAGAGTCCTTTAGGATACCGTACATGACGTTTGTCAGGCATATTTCAGAATAGTCCTGAAGATACCAGACTTTCTCTCCCCAGATTATAATGGACATAGGGAATTACCTGGCCAGTGATTCTATCGACAAAGATCTTACAAACAGCAACGAAGAGAATTGTCAGTATCACATTTTTTCTTCTTCTAAATAATGTATAAGCTTCCATAAATATTAAATCCCTTAAGAGAAATTAGATCAAATAAAAATAATCCCAGATGGATGAATAGGAGACTAAAATATCCATTGGGAGAGACGAGAGGATCACCTTATAGGCCAATACATTTATATTAAAAGATTGATTAAAAAAAATGTTAAAGGAGAAATTCAAGTTATAAGGGTGTCCAAGACAAATTCGAGAGAATTCTTACACGTGAACAGGACAAAGATTAAAAAAAATAGACCCTCTTAATACTAGATCTGGAAAATTTACTGATATAATGAGCAGGAAATGTACTCATTTAGTTTTTTCTTTTATTTCGATCTTCACACAAGATCCTTTACTGACAACGTTTCGCCCACCCAGTGGACTCTGTGAAGACAAATAGAATCTATTTGTTGTCACTAAAGGATCTCAATAGCCTGCCTGTGTCTCTTTTCATTCAAATACTTTCTATTACACAGTTATGAAAGACTGGACATGGATGCCTGATCATGTCTTGCAAGGTCAGTCTTAGTATAAAACAATGCAAGAATAGAGCCAAAGAATATCTAATCATCTAATAAATGAAGGGGCAGAAGGGGAGGATAGTGATTTATTTCATTATTAAAAATGTTCAGAATTTGCTTTATGGCCCGATGTATTTTTTTTTGTCAGTAAGTAAGTAAGTAAATTTATTCAGGTATACACAATACAGTTACATAGAATTATCATACATAGCAGCATATGTGTAGAGAACCTAGGATAACCCGATTATGGTTTTATTAACATCACTGTAACAAGAGGATCCGACTGAAATTATATATGTTCATATAAAAAATATTGTATTTGTATAATACAAGAGCCCCAGTGGATATAAAAAAAACATTGATTTTACTTGGTTATCCTAAGTAAAACTTATATAATTTACTGCATTATGAGGCCTAACCCCTAGCAAGTAAATAAGTTTATTTAGGTACAAGTACACATAAGTATAGTTATCATACCTAGTAATAAGTGTAAATTACCTCGGATAACTCAAAAAAAGTTAGACTGACGTATTTTCATTGGGTTAACTAAGCAGAATAATTTTTTTAATGGACTACGACAACTCATGCAGTATGATCCCTGTTCTCAGAAGTTCGGTATCAAAGTTTGTTGGTCAATGGGGGTTTAAAGCCTATCGACCATACTTAAGACTTCGCAAAATCTATTTATTAAACCACCAGACAAGAATACTTTAATCCCTGAAATAATAATGAAAGTAAACCCTCAGCATATATACTCTGAGAGAAATACTTCTCTCAGTGTATATATCCCATGCCCGGTGCCCAAAAGTTTGTTTAGTACTTAGATACTGCCCAAACTGCCCGTGGCGCCGAAAAATAAAATTTTCTACTTATTTCCTGGAAAAGTCCAGCTACCGTACAGTACAAAGTCTGGGTTTATACTTCCATTAAATACGGTTTAATATTTATAAAATAGTCTTGGGTTAAATATTTTTTATGTATATCTAAATATTTATTAGCTTAAGTAATAAATTTGTGTATTTAGCTGTTACGAGTACGGTTGTTGATTTTTAAAGGAAGTAAAATAAAATAATATGCCTATATGAATCTCCATTACGCGATATGGATATAATTCTTGACTAGTGTTGCTCTGGCATCATCACTGCTCAGACGCACTCAAGCCGATTTCAACAATAATATTTTTTCTGGCTGGGAAAAAGATCTTCAGAAATTTTCACCATTAGTACTGAGAGCATCCAGAAATTGAGTGAACAGGCACTGGCACCAGGAGGAGGAGAGAGCTGTGTAAGCTGCAAGTATAGGACGGGAAAGTATCATTGGTACTGAATATCAAGGAGGAGGAAGTCTTCGTTGTCTCTTGTACTACTAACATCACAAAGAAGAAAATATGCTTCAAGAAGAGGAATATGATTCTGACACTAGTGACGAGGATTTTGTTCCCGATGGTATGACAATTACTTCTCGAAAGTTAGTTTTATAGTGAAAATCATTTAAAAGCCAATGACTCGACCTTTTTTTTTTGTACAGTTAAAGATTTAAAGTTCCAGGAGATTGTCTTTATTTTACCTTATTATTATTAGTGGTGTTTACAGAAAAAATCTGAATATATATTTGTGTATATTTTCTAACATTTAAACCAGACCTCCCATGCCCTTCCTTGGATCGAACCCGAATGCCTCGCATTACCCCACGTGTTTCATGACTTAGTGCTTCTCACTGGTGATAAGAATAATTATGATAATAATAATAGTAATAATATAAATAATACATGTACATTTATTATCAAGTTATTTGGTATGATAACGCGAATTTCAATCCTTTATCGGGTTCACCCAAATTTCTCTCAGCAATTGTATATTATTATTACTTAATCTTTCTGGAGACTTCACCATAATTTTTGAATTTTCAGTGCATCGGTATTATAAATTTGGATTGTAACAAATGTAAACTCACCCCATTGACAATGTAATTACTGTAGTTTAATGAAGGACACATTTACTTTTGTAGATACATTCATCATCTTGTTGCTGTGTTTTATGTTAGTGACTAAAACAAAACTATTGCTTTGTCATTCCTTCTTGGAGATCATTTTGTGATAACTTCACTAACCTTGGTATCTGTCAGGAAGATATGTTTATGGACTGTTCCTTCTACAAGGCATCAAGATGTATATTAATCATTTTATAAATTCAGATTCTTTATTTCCACATGTTTCAGTTTTAAAAATTGCTTGAGTTCACCATCATTGCAACAGTATCATTGCATCATCATTACAGTGCAGTGTTTTAAGCATGTGGCTTGAACAGTGGTATCAATTGCATTTATGTTTAGTAGTAGGTTTAGGGATTTAATTAAGGGCATGGTGTGTTCCTATTGATAGAGTTTGTGAATGTTCTGAGACCTGACTTTTGTTGAGTTATAATTGTTTTTTTGGTGTGTAGGGACATATTCCATAAGTGAGGTATGAGTAGAAGAGGGAAAAGTCAGGTGTTTGGAGTGTGGGGTGTGGAAGATGACAACGAATTTTGGAGAGTACCCCTACCATCTTGGAGACTTAAAATATAATGTATAAGATTTTTTGTAAAACTCGATCACTTTTTGAGCTAATATATAAGAGTTAAAGTATTTTAAGAATTACAATACTACAGTATATAAATAATGTAATTTTAACATAATCAGAGCTTTAGATTCTTAGTATGTGAATAGAAAAATGAAGGCTGATATCAATTTACAGGAGTGGAGAGTGAGGATGAACCAGTGAGTGGTGCTGAAGATGAATTAGATGAAATTGAAAATAATGAAGAAGAGAGCTTTACTAATAAAGGCAAGAAAAAGAAGAAAGGCAAAAAGGGAAGATCCAAAATGTCTTTGTTTGGTCGAAAACAAGATGATGATACAATAGAAGATGAGAAAGATGAAGAGCAGAAGACAGTGAATGAAGAAAAAAACAAGAAGAAAACTGATGACATATGGGCAGGTCAGATAAATGATAGTACAGTAATTTATTTTTTCTGTTAATTCCAATTTTTATGCTAAATTACCACTCTCTTGCCTTCCCATGTTATGAAGTTACATACTTCTGCATTACCATATTTCTTATAATTTGTTTCATAGTTATACTGCAGTTCATTCAAGTGGCTGAAATTTATGTATACAGTTTAGGAATCTGTAAAACACTTCAGCATTTAGAAAGATATCTTCACTTATATTATTCTTCATATCTATCTTACTTCATTGATGTTGCCTTCTCTGTGACCTCTTTCTTCTTTGCTGCTTCCTTCATTGAACTCTTTGAAAAGCTAATTTCAATAAGAATCTCCCTTAGATATTTTAACTTCCTGGATGAGTTTATGGATATTTAGGGGAGCAATAATTATTGGTATTGTTTCAGCATTCTGGTTTAGCTATTACATAACAGCCATCTTCTTATACTGAAGCTCAAGAACATGCGGAAAGAATGAGTAAAATATTATCACATTCTGCCTTTATTACACTCCAATAATTGCATGGTTGGAATACTGCATCCCTACTGAAGTTTCTTAAGCCAATATGCTTTCTTTAAACTGCTGTTGATAAAATGTAAAGTTTTAACATTAATTAATAAAAAAAGGTTCACTAATACTGTATTTTCAAAAAAAATTGTCTTATGCTCTCTTTCATATTAGAAAAGTCAATAAAAAGTTCATGTGAACACTGCTGTATCTGAGCATACTCTATAATTTTTAATGTTTTACCATTGATAAATATATAGTAGTGCTCTATTGCCATGAGAAAAAACTTTTTATTTATTTGTCTTGCAGGTTATTTTACATACAAATTATAATTCAATCATTTTGTTACAATACCACACAAGAATTGTTTGGAATACTTTTAGTCCCATTTCAGTTATGTTATCTGTTCCATTAAGGGTTCCAATTGAGGAGGCCTCAGGTCAGGCCTCCTTAACTGGAAATGAAATACTGTACAGTATTACAGGACTAAGAACTACCATACCATTGACTAGGCATTTCACGACTTTTGTTTTATTGATGCAGGATTCTTATCTTGCTGACCCCTGGTCGTTGCTATGTGATGCTTTGTTTGCACAATTGTTGAAGTTCCATTATTTGAAAATCTTAGCTTGCATTGTTATTGAGAAACTTTAGCTTGTATTGTCATCATAAAAGGCATATAAATAAATCCTTTCCCTAAATTTGGAGATAGTGATATGTTGCAACTAGTTTGACACATTAAAACCATAGATAAAGTGAATGAAGTATATTCTGAAGCTGTCAAACTTTACATCTACTTTTTGTTATTTAAGCGAATATGACAAAATTAATACATATTGTAGTTATGCTTCAGAATTGCTGATCTAATAGTGTAATGATTGAATTCCTTTAATATTAACATTATACTGTTTATACAGTACTAGTCAATTTTTTTTATCTAACTTTCATAAGACAAAATGGGTTCCTTGACCCTTGAAGGGGGAGGGGGTGCCTTAATGCTGGTAAGGCTCTTGAACCAAGAAATTGGAGCTACCCGTTTTTTTTTCCGTGGATCAAACCTGATTACCTAATTTACCTCCCATTACCCAGGCTTCATGAGTCCTACAGGTTTAGTGCTTCCTTGTCAGTATAATAATAATAAGAGTCCTTGAGAGCTTATGGATACTTTTTTTTAACACTGGTTGTTTCCAACTAAAGTAGGGACTTCTACACCCCCTCCAAAAAAAAGAACTCAATTGCCATTACTTATTCTCTATCAGTTTTTCCAGAAGTGCATGAATATCACAACTGATACTGAATCACAATATTTATAACTCACCTATGGAGTACAAGCCCTGTACTTCCTACTTCCAGAACTCAATTGTGTATTTAACTTGTTTTCCTGTTTCCCTTCATAAATTTTGAATTGCTCTCACTTCAACAGAACGTCCGATCTCAGAATCCAATTGTCTCTTCTTCAGTTGCTGTAATTTTTAATATATGAATTTTTTTTTTTTTGAGACATTGGTTGTCTCCTGCCAAGGTAGGATATTAAAAGATTTTTCTTTTAACAGATTTTCTGGCAGATGTTGAAGACAAACCCAGCCCTCCACCTAAACCTAAATCTTCAAGCTGGGCAGCTCTTCTTGGCAACAAGAAAAACCCTATTAATTCTAATACAGTTACATGTATGTATACTGTACTAAGAATACTGGTAATTTCATTTGTTTTGTATGCAATTGTGTAATTAATTAATAATGAACTATATATATCCTATATGAAACTTTAAATTTCCATTGTTTATATTCTTGTATTTAAGTGTTAAAATTGGTTCTGAATGAGTGATTGGCTCCAAAGGAAAAACCCTCTCGAGGGAGGTTCCATAATGCTGGTGAGGGATCATCTAGGGAATTGGATCTGTGCTCCAGTTCCCTGAATTAAGCCTGAATGCCTTCCGTTCTCCCCCCCACAGGCGCTGTATAATCCTATGGGTTTAACACTCCCCCATGATTATAATAATCCAAGAAAACTGCATGGGTTTAGCACTTTTTTTGAACATATGTGCTGAGGAGAAAATCTATATTGCATTAATTACTCTTAGTTGTTTCAGGTCAAGTGTCATTCAGGAACTACTATAATATTTAGACTTCTCTAAATCTTTAACCTGTACATATGTATATTTTAATGTTTTTTCTTTTTTTAGCAAGTCGGCCGTCTCTCACGAGGCAGGGTGACCCAAAAAGAAAGAAAATCCCAAAAAGAAAATGCTTTCATCATCATTCAACACTTTCACCTCATGCACACATAATCACTGTTTTTGCAGAGGTGCTCAGAATACAACAGTTTAGAAGCATATACGTATAAAGATTACACAACATATCCCTCCAAACTGCAATATTCCAAACCCCTCCTTTAAAGTGCAGGCATTGTACTTCCAATTTCCAGGACTCAAGTCTGGTTATATAAAAATAACTGGTTTCCCTGAATTTTTTTTTTTTTTTTTTTTTAACAAGTTGGCCGTCTCCCACCGAGGCAGGGTGACCCAAAAAAGAAAGAAAATCCCCAAAAAGAAAATACTTCATCATCATTCAACACTTTCACCTCACTCACACATATTACTCGCTAAATATTACCCTGCTCACACTCCAACAGGTCGCCAGGTCCCAAATACCATTCGTCTCCATTCACTCCTATATAACACGCTAATGCACGCTTGAAATTTTGCCCTCTTTGGAATCTTGAAAAGAAAAATTATTCCCCAACTAAGTTCCTGAAGGGAAACAGTTCATAACAAAAGATAAGAGAAATGCGTTAGGGGGAAAAAATCTTTAGAAAGGCACATTTGCTGAATATGTTACAGTAAATTTTATTTCCTCCACCTTTAGAAGATTGTGCTTGGCAACAGAAAATTGTTTATTGGAGGATGGTTAATGATAAAGATCCTGTATATGATTATTGCCTCAAGGGAGGCTCTTTGATGCCACTGAGAGGCTCTTGATCTAAGGAATTGGAACTGTACTCCCATTCCTTGGCTTAAACCTGAATTCCCCTCATCCCCCATGCACTGTATGTCTTATGATTTTATCATGCCTTCCATGAATGTAATAATAGCATATGTAATTATGTAATAAATAAAAAATTATTGATGCCTCTTTAGTGCAGATTTTCTATGGAAAATAGGTTGTTAGTTAGACCTAAGAGATGGATTGAGTGAATGACAGGTGTTAAGAGTTTATTATGGAAATGTGATAGATAGATGCTGTTAGATGTAGATAATTGAGAATCATTATAAAAATTAATTAAAATTTCAGCTGGTTAAGTACATATGTAAAGATATTGGTTTTTACTTGTGCAAAATTTTGAATGAAGTTAAAGGTTTATTTTCTTTCATGCCAAGATTTTCCAAGTACTACTTTAGATGTTTTTAGTTGGTTTTCTTTCCCTTTATAGCCTTTTACTCATTTTACTAATTGATATTATTACTTTCTAGTGAAACCACAGGATTCAGTTAAAAATGAAGTAAAAAAGAAAGAAAATGTTGAAAAACCTAGCACTGTTAAGATCACCCAGGTTTTCGAATTTGCTGGAGAAGAAGTAAGGTTAGTATAGCATGTATTTTTGGGAGTTTATGGCAATATTAAATATTTTGCATTTCTTAAATTTGCCTTTATTATTATATTGTGAAAATCAGTATATTAAGTTTGTAGCATTTCTTTTACTTGATGATAATCATTGAACTATTGCTTGTGGGGAACCTTGCTGCCTACCTGCAGGCATTTTTTTTTTTTTTTTTTTTTTTTTTTTGTCAAAGCTGATTTTGCTTATCATGGGCTGAAAAATCTGAGCGTTGAATGATCCTTATAGGTTGGGGGTCTTATTTTGGAATACTATAATAATACCTTGAAGAGTCTGAAGATGAGGATGAGAAAAAGGATTAACCTTTCGCTGTCTCTTGTGTAGATTTACTCTATTGATGGCAGTGTCGCTTGCATAGATACACGTTTTAAGTACAGTGCCCTAAAATATGTGTGAGCAATAAAATTTGGCCTAGACTTGAAGGAATGGATCTGTGTGGTGAGTGTGCATAGTATAAAAAAAAAATCCTGCCTCATGTGGTGCATGATGGTTTTATTGGCCATCACTAGCTGCTGCATCTCATCTTGGGCTCAGTTATATGGGTTTCCATTCTCAGGCCTCTTTTGGATAAGGGACTGACCATCTTTCATCAAGGCTTAGGAACTGAAAGTTGAAGGACTCAACCCAAAATTACTCTCTAGTTTTTTCCGTCTAAAACATTAGAAACACCTCTTTCTTCAGGTGAAGAAACCTACTGTGCAGGAGAAAGGGTTTTTTCAATAAAGATATCTAAGTAATAAAAAAGAAAAATTATTTAGTTTTGTTATTGGCACTTGCACTCTGGTGCCTCAGATAAATGTGTGGAATCTAGTATACAGTGTCATGTTTGAGTGAAAAATGTAAACCTGTTTAACATTTTGCACTCTAAAACATTGTTCCTTGTTTATTTTTTCCATCTTGGTGACATTTAAAAGTGTGATATTAGTACGGTATAGAAATAAATGTACTTAATAGCTGTTATTGTCTCAATTTTGCAGAGTAGAAAAAGAAGTAGATGCTGATTCAGCTGAGGCTCAAGCAGCACTTGCTTCACCTGTCTCTGGTGCAGCAGATGGCAGTAAATCAACTACTCCAGGTGGCTTTAGTTAATTTTAATGTTAAACTAAGTTAAACAGGGAATTACAGTATTTTAAATACATTATATTTAAGTTTACTGTCATAACTGTGCTAGACGGTGATAGTGCGAATGATGGTGAGTGTTTCATTTTTGGGTCACCCTGCCTTGGTGAGTGATGGCCAGCATGTTAAAAAAAAATTTAAGTTTTTTGAAAACCCTATATTTAACAGCACAATATTTTAAATATGCTGTATTTAACAGCGTGAGTGTGTCAGATAGGAGTGAATGGAGACAAATGATTTTTGGGACCTGACGAACTGTTGGAGTGTGAGCAGGGTAATATTTTGTGAAGGGATTCAGGGAAACTGGCTAGCCAGACTTGAGTCCTAAAAGGGGGAAGTACAGTGCCTGCACTTTAAGGGAGGGGTTTGGGATATTGGCTGCTTGGAGGGTCATCTAAACTGATGTGTCTAAGTGCCTCTGCAAAGATAGTGATTATGTATGAATGATGGTTGAAGTACATACATATTTACATATAAAGTACAGTATACTACATATGATATTTTGGTAAAAGTTAGATGTATAAATAATAATTTCTCTGCAGGCTCAGGAGTACCGAAGCGTCCTAGTGGCATGTCTAGTATTGTTGGTTTCCTTGATAGTAAAAAACAGAAGCTTACCACTTTAGAAAAGACTAAACTAGACTGGAACAGCTTCAAGTCTCAGGAAGGACTGGAAGAGGAGCTTGAAAAGCACAAGAAGAGCAAAGATGGGTAAGTCAATGCCATTTTTAAAATAGGGCCACAACTTAAGATGGCAATGCATTTCTGAAAATTTATCGCATTTCGAATGTTCAGTGCTTAGAATTTACTTTCTCACTGATGCCTTTGTTATAATTGAACATTGAACATTTACATATATACTAAAAATGTTATAAATGGTGCAGAGGTAACATTAAAACAATATCAAAGATGGTTGACACAAACCCACTACCATTATAGTATGCTCCTCGCTTAGCGACAAATTTGTGTACGAACGTGGTCTTAGGAAAGGAACTCCATCGTTTAGTGAGAAGAGGCTTTATGTATATAAATTCAAGAATTATTTACATTGGATTAAAGGTGAGATGTAAGATGTTGGTTATAGTGTGTTTGCATCTGGGCAAGAGTGAGAGAGAGAATGAGAAAGAGAGAGAGAAAAGGAATGATAAAATGAGAATTTCAGGTTAGGTTAGGTTGAATGTTAAGGAAGTTTGGAGACAAGTGAGAGAATTATTGTTGTAGGTTACCTAAATGCTGCCTACTTAGGGTGTGCCAAAGTATTGACATTAGTATTGGTAAATTTTGATGGTATCAGTATTGGCCCAAAATTGAGTATCGTATTGGTGAGTATCGGCTGATATTGATGGTGTTGGAATTGGCATTGGTGTGTGTCAGCTAATTTTGATAGTATCATTATTTGATTAAAATTGACTATTGGTATTGGCAAAATAAATTGATATTGTCCCATCTCTACTATGTACCTTATACCAAAGAAATTGCCTTAAAAATCTTAAATCTATTTTGAGGTTTTGGAATGTGACTTTTTTTTTTATGTTGTAAATATTAAGCTGTAGTAAAAATTATTTTTGTATACTGCATTTATACATATGATAACCTCTTTTGCAGTTACTTGGATAAAAAGGAATTCTTGGAGAGGGCTGATCTGAGGCAGTTTGAAATTGAAAGGGCGTTAAGAATGAATAAGCGGTCAAAGAGATGAAGAGTGTAAGTTATGATGTTTCCTTTATCCAAACTTTCAAAGCCAGTGATATTTTAAATTTAACATTTTTCTTTTGGTCAGTGGGGGAAGAATGTGTATGCAACTTTTTAGCATGTAATTTGAATATTTAATGAAATACAGTGATTCTAAAAGAAAGAAAAAAAAAGAAAAAAGAAAAATTGCAAAGGTTAGTGGATGAGTTTGAGAATGTGTGTAAAGGTAGAAAGTTGAAAGTGAACATAGAAGTGAACATAGAAAAGAGTAAGGTGATGAGGGTATCAAATGATTTAGATAAAGAAAAATTGGATATCAAATTGGGGAGGAGGAGTATGGAAGAAGTGAATGTTTTCAGATACTTGGGAGTTGACGTGTCGGCGGATGGATTTATGAAGGATGAGGTTCATCATAGAATTGATGAAGGAAAAAAGGTGAGTGGTGCGTTGAGGTATATGTGGAGTCAAAAAACTTTATCTATGGAGGCAAAGAAGGGAATGTATGAAAGTATAGTAGTACCAACACTCTTATATGGATGTGAAGCTTGGGTGGTAAATGCAGCAGCGAGGAGACGGTTGGAGGCAGTGGAGATGTCCTGTCTAAGGGCAATGTGTGGTGTAAATATTATGCAGAAAATTCGGAGTGTGGAAATTAGGAGAAGGTGTGGAGTTAATAAAAGCATTAGTCAGAGGGCAGAAGAGGGGTTGTTGAGGTGGTTTGGTCATTTAGAGAGAATGGATCAAAGTAGAATGACATGGAAAGCATATAAATCTATAGGGGAAGGAAAGAGGGGTAGGGGTCGTCCTCGAAAGGGTTGGAAAGAGGGGGTAAAGGAGGTTTTGTGGGCGAGGGGCTTGGACTTCCAGCAAGCGTGCATGAGCGTGTTAGATAGGAGTGAATGGAGACGAATGATACTTGGGACCTGACGATCTGTTGGAGTGTGAGCAGGTAATATTTAGTGAAGGGATTCAGGGAAACCGGTTATTTTCATATAGTTGGACTTGAGTCCTGGAAATGGGAAGTACAATGCCTGCACTTTAAAGGAGTGGTTTGGGATATTGGCAGTTTGGAGGGATATGTTGTGTATCTTTATACGTATATGCTTCTAAACTGTTGTATTCTGGGCACCTCTGCAAAAGCAGTGATAATGTGTGAGTGTGGTGAAAGTGTTGAATGATGATGAAAGTATTTTCTTTTTGGGGATTTTCTTTCTTTTTTGGGTCACCCTGCCTCGGTGGGAGACGACCGACTTGTTGAAAAAAAACAAAAAAAAACAGTTAAATGTTAAAATTAATTTAGCCTGAATTCAGAATGAGACATCCTTGATTGTTCACCTAAAAATCATTACTTTCTGGCCTTTCTTTGTGTTCTATGTTGCCACCTATAATGAAAAGGTATTTTTTGTTTATATATTGTAGTTGACCTTTCAAGGCCAACTTTCTAAAATAATAAGTACCCCACTAATTCTTGTCTTTGTTTTTCAGGTACCTTAAAAAATTAGGTATTGTAACAATAACTATGGTGCTGTAATTGCTCAGCATGGTCATCAAATATGTTTTCCCCCTTTAAGATAAAAATTTAGCACTGGAAATATTAATCTATGGCTTTAGTTATGCAAAAATTGTAGTCACAGAAATGGAAGTCATCAGTAGGGAACTTCAGTTATTTCTTCAGACTTTTAACTTCGAACATATGGTGTTATGGTTTGACTTTAATTGAAACCATTGTTAGAATCATCACAGTTTTCATTAAATATTTTTGAGGTAACCATTTTGGTTTAATTTGACTAAGTCTGTGTAATGTCACACCAAATTGATGGAAATGAGTGAGAGTCTTATTTATTTTAATTTAATATGCCATTTATCATTCCTGCTTTAATGAAGCAAATGTATAAAGGTTATTTTGTAATAAATGTAATAACTGATGGCCAGTTTTTCTTAATCCTTAATCAGTAGTACTGTAGTTCCTTTAGGTGCTGTATGATTAATAAATAATAAACTTAATAAAGATATTTTTATTTGGATGTACAGTAACATCACTATCATTACCACTTACTACTACATGGAGTGGGAAGGCACATACCTGGAAAGGATGGAGTAAGCATTGTCAGAAATCAGGGTCACAAATATACTGATGTGCTCTTTCATACCTTATACATGTGACAGAACCACTAGGCTATTATAAATTCCCAAAATAGTATCTCAGCCATTTTACAGACTAAATTTTGTCATTCTGGTTTGTCACAAAAGTGTCAAGGTCATTCCATTCCCAGAAATTTTCCGCCCTAGAGCTTGTCATGGTATTGGAAGCAAAAGATTTAACCAGGTAAAATATGGTTAATGTAGAAAGTACAACCTGAACATGAAGGATGGGAAGAATTGGGTGGTTCCAAGCACGCAGTCTTAGTGTATGTTACAGGTAGAGTATAGCCAGGGCTGTAGTTATTTTCTCAGTAAATAGAAATGAATGAAGACGAGTATGTGCTGCTGGAGTGTAAGCAAGGTGGCCTGAAAGGATTTGGGGAAACTGGTTAGTTGGATTGATTCCTGGAGGTGGGAAGGGCAATACCTGCACTCTGGAGGAGGGGTGAAGTTGCAATCGGAAGGTAAATCTGATTGTGTTGTCAGTACACTTACGGAAAAATGGTTATTGAATATATGATGCTCAGTGTATTTTCCTTGAGTTACCATGCCTTAGTGGGAAATGGCTGTTGAGTTAGAAAAAACAAAGAGGAGGATAATTTTATATGTTTTGCTTCAATGTATACAAAGGAAACTGTGATACCATCAACCTAAGGATTTTTAAACACTTTCCTGGCATTGTCATCATCATCTTTAATCATCCACTGGCTGGCTCCCACCAAGGTAGGGTGACCCAAAAAAGGAGAAATGCTTTCACCATCATTCACTCTTATCTCACTCTTACCATAGGTGCATGTGCTACAGTTCAGATGCCCCTCCAATCTACAAATATCCCCACCCCTCCATCAGAATGCAGGCATTGTGCTACCCACCTCCTGGACTCAAGTCCAACTAACCAGTTACCCTGAGTCCTTCACAAAATCTTACCTTGCTCACACTACAACAGCTTGTCAAGTCATGAAAACCATTTACCTCCACTCTTTTTTAACATGCTCACACATTCCTGCTGAATGTCCAAGCCTCTCACACACAAAACCTCCTTTACCCGCTCCCTCCAACATTTCCTAAGGTGACCCCTACCCCACCTTCCCTCAACTATAGATTTATACACTCTCCATGCCATCCTGCTTAGCGCTTCTTTTTTGATTATAATAATAATAATCCATGCCATCCTGTTTTACTCCATCCTCTAAATGTTCACACCATCTCAACACTTCCTCAGCCCTCTGGATAATACTTTTAGTAACCCTTCACCTCCTAATCTCCAAGCTACGAATTCTCTGCTGTATAGCCCTTGTGGCTTGGCACTTCTTTTTGATTATAATAATAATAATACGATTTCTCTGCATAATGTTTACACAGCATATTGCCCTCATATATGACATCTTCACTCCCTCCAGCTTCCTCTTCCTCACTGCAACATTCATGTCAGATGTTTCACATCTATATAAGAATTTTTTTTTTTTTTTTTTTTTTTTTTCAACAAGTCGGCCGTCTCTTCCACCGATGCAGGGTTGACCCAAATCGGAAAGAACAAAAGAAAAATATTCCCCAAAAGAAAATACTTTCACATCATCAACACTTTCACCACACTCGCACATTATCACTGTTTTTTGCAGAGGTGCTCAGAATACAACCTTAGAGCCATAACAAATTATAAAGAACACACATATTCCTCCAACTGCCAATATCCCAAACCCCTCCTTTAAAAGTGCAGGCATATCTCCCATTTCCAGGACTAAGTCCGACTATATGAAAATAACCGGTTTCCCTGAATCCCTTCACTAAATATTACCCTGCTCACACTCCAACATTCCCTGCATTCATTCATTCATGCATTCCCTTTTTTACCTCCATGGATAATGGTCTCTATAGATGCCTCAATGCACTACCTACCTTTTACCCCTCATTACTTCTATGGTTCATCTTGTCTTTCATAGACCTGTCTGCTGACAAGTCAACTCCCAAATATCTGAACACACTCACTTCATTACTCCTTCCCTGAAATCTGATATCCAATCTTCTATTTCATAAATCGTTTGTTACCCTTACCACCTTGCTCTTTCCTATGTTCACTTTTAATTTCCTTCTTTTACATGTCCTCCCAAATTCGCCCACCAACCTTTGCAGCTTCTCTTCATAATCTCCTAAAAGCACAGTCATAATTTCCCTCTCTCCTACATGCCTAAACCTGAGCCTCACTATTGTAAAAACTCTTACCTGTTTGTAGTAATCTACCACCTATTCTTTGCACTAGCAACTTATGCCACATTGGTTCCCTATCCACCCATGAATGCAATGAAAATTTCCTTAACTTTATCTAAATATTTTTCACTTGTATGTTTCAATGTAAACACTAGGTCTACACATCCCCTACCCTTCCTAAAGCCTCCTTGTTCATCAGCAATCCAACTCTCCATCTTGCCCTTAATTCTTTCAATAATAACTCGACAATATACTTTACCTGGTCCTGGCATACTCGACAGGCTCTATAATTTTTACGCTCTTGTACCCCATTCTTTTATACAAGTGAACTATTTATGCTCTCTGCCAGTCCCTAGGTACCTTCCCCTCTTTCTTACATTTACCGAACAAAGGTACCAACAACTCCAAAACTATATCCCCACCTGCTTTTTACATTTCTGTCTTGATTCCATTAATTCCAGATGCTTTATCCTTTTTTATTTTACCCACTGCCTCACTCACCTCCTCCACTCTCACATCTGGTTCTTCCTCACTCTTTAAAGATGTTATACCTCCTTGGCGAATGCATGAAAGCCCCGCTGCCTCCCTTTCTTAATCAACATTTAACAGATCCTCAAAATATTCCAATCATCTTCCCAATACTTCCAACTCCCCATCTACTACTATTTCTTCACTAACAATCTGTCCCTTTTTCACTACCATTACTACTTTTTTTATTGCCATCTCTATCACCATACTGTGCTAATAGTATGTACTATTACTATTTTTATGGCTGCTTCTAGTATTACGTACTATTTTTACTACTACTACACCACCACCACCACCACCAACCACTACTACTACCACCACTACTACTACTACATTATTTCTCCAGTTATACCAGTTCTGTCCCCCACCCCCACATTTAAATTCTGGCTCTTCCCTTTTTGCTTGTGTGTGACTAGTTAATGGTCCAAGTCAGATCAAACACTGCTATTAATAATGTATATGAGGCATTTTTACATGTATCATGACATTTTCCTTTTAAACAGGAAAACTTTTCATCTATTGCAACCCCTCAAGGGAGGGTTCTTGATGTTGGTGATGGGTCTCTTGATCTAGGAAAGTGGATCTGTGCTCCAATATCCTGAATTAAGCAGGAATGCTTTCCACATCCCACCTCTCGAGACGCTGTATAATCTCTACAGGTTTAGTGCTCCCATAATAATAATGATAATCGTCTATTGTAAAAGACTGCTTTTATGCCTCAGTATTTTGCAAAATGCCTTGATGCTGGTGAAGGGATCCTGGTTTAAGGAATTGAACTTTTTTTTTTTCTCCTCTTGGATCGAAGCAAAATTCCTTCTATCACCCCCTGGGAATAGAAGTGCTACACCCATAGGGGAAACCTATGGGTGTAGCACTTCCACATAAATGTACTGCAATAATAATACTGTAATTATCTCTAGACACTGTTTACCCTTTAAGAGGATGCCGTTGATACTGGTGAATGGCTTTTAATTTGAGGAGTTGGAGCTATTTTCCTCACATCACATCATATCTTATCAGTCCACATTCCGCTGGCACTGTATGTTTTATGGGTTTAACACTTCTCTGTGACCATCAATATAATAATGGTTTACGTTTTCCAGACGTCTTTCATGGAGACATCTTATGAAAGTCTTCCATGCGGGTTTACCTCTCATTAGTTTTTCCTAAATGCATTGCATACTAGTGGCACTTTTTTTTGCCTATAAATATTTTAATGCATGTAAAGTACATTATTTGTGCCGCATAAAGAAAAATAAATTGTATTGAACCTTCAGGGAAAGGGGAGAGAGGATTCTATCCAAGGAAATGAACTTGCTTCCCCTTCCTTGGATCAAACCTGATTGCCTCTGATTCCCCAGGTGTTATGGCCCTTATTGACTTAGATTTTAATCTGATTATTAACCTGGAATTTCAGTAACCCTTGGAAAAAGGGCCCCCCCCAAAAAGAAAAATTTCCTCCCCTTTTTTTTTTTTTTTTAAATTTTAAAAAATTAAAAAAGGGGGGGTTTTAAAAAATTTTTAATTTTTAAATTTAAAAATTTTTTTTAAAAAAATTTTTGGGGGGTTTTTTTTTTGGGGGTTTTTTTTTAAATTTTTTTAAAAAATTTTTTTAAAAAAAAATTTTTTTAAAAAATTTTTTTTTCCCCCCCCAAAATTTTTTAAAAAAAAAATTTTTTTTAAAAAAAAAAAATTTTTTTTTTTTAAAAAATTTTAAACCCTTTTTTAAAAAGGGGGTTGGGGGGGGGCCTTTTTTAAAAATTTTTTTTTTTTTAAAGAAAAAAATTTTTTTTTCCCCAAAAAAAAAATTTTCCCCGGGGAAAACCAATTTTAAAAAAAAAATTTTTTTTAAAAAAAAAAATTTTTTTTAAAACCTTTAAAAAAAAATTTTAATTTTTTTTTTTTTTCCCCCCCCCCCAAAAATTTTTTTCCCCCCCCCTTTTTTTGGGGTTTTTTCCCCCCCCCAAAATTTTTTTTTTTTTTTTTTTTTTGGGGTTTATTTTTCCTTTTTTTTTTAAAGGGGTTTAAAACCCCTTTTTTCCCCCCAAAAA